CAAAGCAATGTGATTTTGTATTTAATTCATTTATAAAAGCCCATTTTAAAAAGTTACTTCAAGTATTAAACTATAAATGGCAACACGTTTTCTCTGTGCATAGGACTAGTCCTATCTGTAACATACAAAAAAATTACAATAAATGTGTCGTTATTACATACATCTTTTAACACTTCACCTCAAACTTAAATACAAGTTTCGGCAGCACAATTAAAAATAACTGTGGAAGTGGAACAGCTGGGACATTGTGATTAGTGCAAATGTTGATGACCCTTGCTGGCAAATACAAAAATAACTGCAGAGATGTTTAATTCATTGAAGTTAAAAAGGGGACAGGGAGAGTGGGCAGATTTTTAACAGCGGGAATGCTGCCTCTTTTCTGTGGTGTTTTTATGATTGTAAACTCGTTCAGAAAGATGTTTCTCACAGTAAAGCTGATAGCAACAGAGTAGAGGACACGAGAAACCAGAGAGGAACAAGCTAAGCATGTAAGTTGTCAGCTAAGCAATGTAAACGGAAGGGAATCTGCCTGTCACTGTTAATGCTTTGGTGCCAATAAAGGTCATCCCAATATCTTCATCCCCAACATCTGCTTGACTGCTGAATATGTGCTGTTTCTTGGGGCAGGGGATGGGAAGAAAGATGGGGAAACCCCTCCCCAAAATGAAGCAATCAATCCTGTAAACATTATCAGACTTCACTACCTAATGGAAACAAGATTCAAGTAATTGCTGCAGAAAACAAACAGCCAAACACCAGCTTTAATCAGCATTAAAACTAACTACAACTTGTAGCATCATCACATTTCATGACAATTATGTAGTTAAGAAAAATGCATATAAAAAGCTGTCTATATATACAAAATGAATTGATAGAAATGAGTGTAGTAAACCTGTTCAGTATTGTAACACATCACTTTATACGCAGCTGCTCTCTTTGGTGCCATTTAGGGACAGAAGAGCCTCTGATGTTGCACACTAGCTATTCTTTAGGTACCCTGAAAGATGTGTTCTCAGTCTGCTCTTAAAGTAGCTGCTGTTTGGAGCCTCTGCAAATGTGTACTGGAATCCCCCAGTTGGGTGCGATTTTAGATAGTGTCCTTAGCGAACATACACTGCAAAGCTCAAAGTTTGTTTTTAAAAAATATTTAATAAATGCGGTCAGTCAGTGCTCCAAATGTAGGCAGATGTGGTTAATGTATGTCAGAGTCAATGCGTCTCCTGGTGAATCTGCCAGACACTAATGCTGCTGCAAACGCCGCTTTTTTCCTCCTCTGGGGGCCCTGGTGAGCTGCAACCAGACTGTACCTCAGACACATCAAGAAGTTCTTCGAGTGGATATCGAATAGCATGGAACTTAACCAAACCTTCCGAACCCCAAAAGATTATTTATGACACAGAAAAGCCACACAAGATCAAACAGGGCAAGAAACAGTACCTGAAACTGTAGGCATTGAGCACTCTGGAGAACAGGACCAGCTTCTAAGAAGAGCATACTGAAAGTAGCTCGGTACCTGTGAATTCCACACTCAAGGGGCAACTTTAACAAAAATGGTACTGTAATTTCTACTCAAATCACTAAAAATAAAAGTGCCTGAACTCCCTCTAAAATAACCCTCTGAATACAGAAAGTGGAAGTTTTCAGTCAAAGGCTTATGATACATCTAACTTGTTACACTGGAATCTTGGGATAATACTGTAGGAAACAACTTACAAGAGAAACCTGCCCCTCTTCCCACAACACACCTTTGGTAGGAGCAGCAATTATGTGTATGTTGTACAGCCTGTGAGTAAATCATCTTAAGGAAAAAAAACCCCAGTATTAGCTGTGTAGTTTTAAGTACTCTTCTATTTATGGATCTCCTTGCCATGTCTTCATAGGAACAGATTTTATCTTAAGACATTTCAGAAGCCTGGAGGAGAAATCACACTGAAATCTTGCCCTAAATCAGGCTTCCGTCCTCACACGGGGAGTTTAATGTCATTTTGTGTGCATGACTCCTGAGTGGATGTGGATTTTTTCAAACGGAAAAGGCAGTAAGAAGCACTAAAGCATAGTTTGTAATTGCAGCCAGTGTCAACTATCCTACGGTAACGATAAGACTATTTATGGCTTGCAATAGGAATTACTTTGATGGCTCTAAAAGCTTAAGGGCTGTTATTTTTAGTGACCATCTAGGTATTTTCAGGACTTGCTGACACAGAGTAGGTCAAAGCACAAAACCGGCACATACAACATAACCCAGCATCCTAAACAGTTGTTTTCTCAGGATCAATCGCCCTTCTGGCCTCCTGAACAGGTAGGGCTGCTCTTCCTGCTGCATTCACTGGAAATTTTCAGCTCTTCAGTCCATGGGCCGGAAGGACCTATTTCCTGGAGTACCGCCCTACAGCCCCCCTGCCTCTGCTGGCAGTGATACCCAAGTCTGCTTGCAGCTCAACAGCGAAACAGCTGTTGGTCCTCACCTCCTTCTTAATTCTTGTCTCGCTCCCTTGTCCTGCCTAGCCTACTCTTTGATACCGCACAGAGTGCCCTTGCTTATGGCGAGGGAGCTGTCAGGACAGAACTCGGAAAGACAGAAGACATTGTCCTGCCACCTTAGATGTGATACCTTCTCCACAGCCAGGGCCTGCCAGGAAAACCTGGCATCCCCATCCCACTCACTGGTGTGCCCTTGGAGTACATCAATACAATTCCCGTAGAGAACTTAATTCCTTTCTATCAGTCTGGAGTTTCTCTTAGTAACCAGTTCTCTGAGAGGAAAAAAAAACCAGGAGGGGTTGGGGGTGGTGAATTTGGAAGAATCATATTTGAATCATTTTACTACATTTCATATTTCTCAAAAGTGACTTTTCAGCAATGCCTGCTTTTACACCAACAGTAACTCTGGCCTCAAGAGTATCCTGAGCACACTGCTCTCCTCCTTTTCTCATCTGAAACATGAGAAAAATCCGGGACAAAACATACCCGTGATCTGCATGAAGATATCAGAAACATCAGCGCTTCATGAAAAGCCACAAAAACAGCCACCAGATAAACAAACAACTGGTTGCAGAAGACCAGCACTTGTTGGAGAACACATGGATTTAGCCCTGTCTGTTTACTTGCATTTTTTTCTGTAGATTAACTATCCTGACTTAAGAATGCAAACAAGTTATACTGATGTTAGTTGACAGTATATAGACATTCATATGGGGGTATAGCGAGCACTTTGGGGGTGGGGGGAGCAGAGCCTATATTGCTGAATCAGTGGTATTTACCATATTAGAGACACAGATTTTGCTTACAGTTGTGCTAGATGATGTCTATGCATGTATGAGCTATCTCAGCTGTAATACATCGATGCACTAAAAGCCAGATGATATCCCGGGCCCTCCATTACAGTTCCACCAGCGTTTGGGGCTGTGAATTTTGGTATTCAGAATAGGCCGTTTGAACTTGCAGTCTTCTGTCTCTGTTGTCTTCCCCAAGAAATTTTGCTGACGCAGTACTGCTGAGAGCTTATATTCAGATGACCGCTTCTCACTTGACATTTGAGAAGAAAAAGCTAAGCCTTTCAGATTAATGTGTAGCAAACGTTTTTGTAAGTTTTGAAATTAGCAAATGCAAAATTTCTTGTATGAAGTTTGAAGAAATATTCTGCAACTTTTATAAAACATGCAAGTTTGGACCATTACTTCTGTCTCAAGAACATCCAACAGTGGCCAAATCACATTCATAGGTTCTCAAAGAGTTCTTGTTCTAGAAGGTTACTATTAAAGCAAAATTTATTCTTTCCAAAGACAAAAAAATATTTGTTTTAAACCTTACAGTATATTTGATTCCTTAGTATTTCCATCATAAACATATTTGATTTCTGTAGCAATCAGTCTGCAAGAGAAACCAAACAGGTTCTTTTTGTCCAGATCAACTCGGCTACTGCCAGTCTGTATCAAAAGGGCTCATGTCTGTTCGCAGTCAGCATCAGCTGAGCATCAGAGAAGTTACAGACAGGAAAATAGTATGTGTCACTGTTTCCAGGTGTGAAATTTCAGTACCTTCCAAAGATGAGTTAGCAGAGCGAGGGGAAAAAAAACCCCACATTGTTTGCTGTGGGTCTTGAGCTTTGGATGGACTTTATTCCTCACACAAGAAACACATTTTGCCTTTTGGGAACAGGTACACCACTGCACAAAGCACTCAATCTTTAGCAATTTCAGCGACAATTGAACTGGACTTGAAAGTGGCAGACTGAAGCAGACAAATTTTCAGTGTGTTAACACAGATGTATGATCCAACACTAACTTGCTCATAAGTACTTCCTATTTGTTTAAATGGTACTTCAGAACCAATAAAACCTTGTGCCTTTATTAAAAAGATAAACAAAAGTATAAAACAGTATTTATAAACCATCAAGAGTCCCATAGAAAAAGCAGTACTCTTCCAGTTCCATTTTCTAACAACACACAACTGCAATAAAGTTTTTCTCCGGGGTACTTTACCATTTAGTGACTGCCTCATACAGAACACTACAGACATTAACAGAAAACATACCAATTGTTAATTCCTTTTTTGATTGGCTTCTCTTTGTATGTTGAGAGACAATTGTTGGAAAGCAATAATTCATCTTTTTTCAACTAAAAAACAAGTTTGCTTCTTTGAGCTCTGTTCTTGGTATGGTTAAATAAATCAAGTTAAAATGATGAGAGGGCTCAATCCTATATAAAAAAGAGCAACATCCAAGTAAAAGGCTTTTACGTTGTCAGCATTGCCTTGCTCCAAAGCACAGATAGCAGAAGGAATCCTCAGGCCCAAAAGACTTGGAGAGCTATGATCATGGGGTAGATTGATTAATAGGAAGAGAGGAGAAGACATCATCCAGTGCCTTCCCCATCACCTGGTGTTGGCGCTATGTATAGTCGCACTTCAGACTCACCGGCCATGCTCTATGTTGAATTTTCTTCCCCACTCCCCCCTCCCTTTTTTTTTTCCCCCCTTTCTTCTCTCTCCCTTTTCCTTTTTTCTGTACCCAGGAGACCTGCTGTGGAAGTGACTTCTGCAGTGCCTAAGGTGTGAAGTTTGCCCGTGAGGAGGTAGGAGTCTCTGCAATCTATCCTCAACACTGCAGCATAACAGAAATGCATAGTTCCCACTCTGGACCTTGTGCATCCAAGCAGGGCACTTCAGGATTTGGCCCTTTGGTAGCAGTATATAATTCAGTGTTGCATAAATGCACATTAAGAATCTTAAGGCATCTGTCTTAACTTCCCTGCTCTGCAATAGTGCTTACAAGAATCCATTGTACTGTGCAGAAACGTGAATTTCTTGTCTCTTCCTAAAATGTTCATGTTCCATTTTTTACTGATCAACTTCTTCCAAACAAAATTAAGAGATATTCAAGCACAAAATGTGTTGCAGAAACCTAGTGAAACAAAAAAGGTAATTAGTGGAATTACACCATTAGCTTTGAAAAACCAGACCATAGTGTATTACAGGAATGCAGCTAGGTAACATGTAATTTACAGATTGCTGGCTGAGAACAGCAGTTAAGGTAACTTCGACTCATAATTAGCCTTCTGGGAGGTATGGGGTTTTTTGTTTTGTTTTAAACCTCTTATGTTTTACAAGATTATCTCCACTAAGAACATCAATCCATCACCACTGACCTGTGGCTTAAGTCTCTTGGTTCCCAGATTGGCAAGAACTGCTCATTCATTTTGAATTAAACTGATAGAAATGGGGACATAAATCATATTTGCCTAGGTGAGGCTGGGGGACTGGCCTTCTTTTGGAAATCATGCTCTTTTGTCTAGAATAATCCAGGAATTTTCCTCATCAGCCATAACTTTGATTGCTTCTGCTGTGTGTTATAGGCATAACATTGAAAAATACAACTATCAGTCTGTTACAGAGTACATGGAAGTACACGGAACAGATGTTGGATCTCACAGCTATTGCATAGTTGCTTACAACTGCAGAGGGACTGGAATTAACCACCTTGACCTACAGAAACTGTGATCAAATCTAACTGAACTCAGAACGGCTGAAATATTGTGCTACTGAGTTAACCATTATTTGGGATAACACATACTAAAATACTTTTGTGTTGCGTGCAATTATGCACTATTTATTTATACAACTTTTAAAACTACAGCAGTTTGGACAAGTGTGACACGAAGTACACAATCTTCCTTTATTAAATTTGGTCTGACTTTAGAAAGAGAGGGAGGATAGAAAAGAAATTAATCCCCAACTATTACCAGTTAATTGTCTAGCCTAAGACAGTCACTTATGCTCCCTTTCCCTAGGTCAGTGGAAAGAAAGATTAAGACCTTTCTATAGTACTCTGTCAAAGGCTGCTGGGATGAACTGCTCTCAGAAGATATCTGCTCCTTCCTATGAAGAACAGAAAAGCCTTAGTAACTTGTTTAGATCAGATTAGTTTTTATACAGCTAGAGGCTGTAAAGAGTCCCTTGCTTAGGACATTCTTATATAAAGTGTTAAGGAAAGTTGCAAAGGGAAAACTCATCATTGGTGGGTTCTCATGGTTGAGTAGGTTTTTCAGATGTACCACTAGATAGTCTAATTTTGGTTTGGGAAGAGTTTACACTGAGCAGTCTGACCAACATCAGTCCAAGCATAACACCATCCTTCACAAAGACTTTTTAGACAGATTTTTTTTCTTGAAAGCTAACAAAAAAGAGAAAAGGAGGAAACAAGAACAAGGAGGAAACAAGAACAAAGGCAGAGGAGGTGAATGACTCAGCCTATAGCATCTATGGTTGCTAGTTGTCCAAATAAGATTTGTTTTGTCTTCTAGAGAGAAAAATGTAATGGGATCTTATAAGCTCATCACAATAAGAAGTCAATATAAGAGAAGTGTAATTTAGTCACTGGAAATACACCATGGGAAGTTTTCGTAAATGCAGCAGCACTGACTGTATTTCCTAAAAGCAAAGTGTGCACAGAGCCCTTACATGAAAGATCACTGTCAATTCCAGGTGTGACGAAGCAGTCCATATGCAGACACCTATATTTACCTATTGACCTTCCTTGTGCACACACAGCTTCTTAAAGTATAAAAGCAGAGCACAAAAAAGACAGTTGAGCTGTTCCTTAAGAACAGTGCTTCCTCAAGACAACATTTTATCTTGAAATTGCCTGTTTAGCAGATTAGATTCTTTTCCCTGGTCAGGTAACAAATCCAGCACTACACATCCATCTAAATGACAGGATTAGTCTGACTCACCTCTGATCTAGCCAGCCTATGTTTCCTGCACTACGGCATTACTCCCGTTCTTGTCTTCTGGACAGCCATTCTGAGCTTTACTTAGACTTTTCTATTACTCATCCAACATCAGAGGACTCCTCTGCATTCCATGACTACTGGCTTTTGACTTCAAGATGTCTATTTTAGTTTACTCATACGTATACAGAAATGGTAATCAATGATGTTGGTCTTACCTGTTTCCCATTGAGATGGTTGGTTAGTAATAAGCTGAGATCAGCTTTCCAATGAAACTATAATATGCTTTTTTGCACCTGAAATGTGAGAGAATCTCAATTATGTGTTTTTGCAGATTTTCACAACAAATAGCAGAGACTTCAAACTAGAAAGCACATTTATTGTATTGTATCTATTTTAGAAAAATATTTTGGTCCCCCTAATCAAACGTAAAAAGATCCAAAATCTCAGAAACAGGAAGTGTGAAAGTGGGAATTATCTATCCATTTACCTTAGTGTATGGGAATTATCTATCCATTACCTTAGTGTAATCCCTCAGTTTGGAGCAGAGCATGAGACACAAGTTAGCCTTAACTTAGAAACATGCTGAGTTGATTCTACGGAACAAATTTTCTTCTACTTGCCTCTAACCAATCCCTAAGGATTTTTTAGGCTGAAGAGGGGAAAAAAAAAAAAAAGGGAAAAACCCACCACAAAGAAAACCATAGAATCATCAGAAGTGTTACAGTGCAGGCTACCTGATTTAACATTTTCCTCTTCAGGGCCACTTTCCACCCACTGACTGTCACTGGCTAGTAATCGATTTTGTGATTCACTGAGTGGTCGAGTAGGAAAGGACTGATTGGCTCCAGAGCTGAAAAGTAAGCAAAGTCAACAGGAGTTCTGTAATAGCAGCAGCTGCTTATTTCAGACATTTTAAGCGTAGTGAAGTTACTTCAGAGTCAAGCAAACAAAAAACTGTACACTGCCAACTAAAAATGCCTCCCTGCCCCCAAACTTAATTCTCCTAGAGGAGAATTGTTCCATTCATCAGTCTAAACCCTTCCCTGACACAGGCCACTCACAGTTCTAATGGAAAAAAAGCATGGATTGATAGACAAGGAGTGGCATGCTGACAACAATGCTACTGCCACACAGTTAAAAAGAAAACCTAATCAGTACTGTCTGGAGAACAACCTAATGCCATCTTATCCCATTAGTAAATGCTAGGGCCTTCTGCTGAACATCTTCCTAATGCAAAAGGATACGCTCCTGTTTGCACAAGGGTCCTGCTCTTGTGTAAATTCCAGAGGTTATGCTACACTCGAAGCAACTTCTTTCCAGTCTTGCCTTTGAAACCCCCTAATGCCTGATAACTCAGGTGACTGCTGTTGACAACAACCTTCAGCTACAAATTCACCAAACTTTACAGAAGGCTTCTAAAATGGCAAGTGTAAACAGCCCTAGAAGTTTCATATACTCCTGTGTCTTTGAATCTAAAGAAGGCTTCCTGAAAATAAAGCAAAAAAAAAAAAAGGATAAAAAGTAATGAGCTAAAACCCCTCCAGTGCTGAAGACCAGTAACAGCCACAGCGATCTCTCTCTGTTGCAAACTGTGTCTCAGCATCCCTTGTTTAAGCATGCTAGAGGAGGTGAAATACAAATAACACATACACCTTGCCTTTCTCTCATTCCAAAAAATACCTAAAACTTTTTTTTCTATGGACCATTATTCAGTCTTCCTTAGGAATTTTTTGGTTGCTGTTAGGAGCCAGTAAGCTCTCTTACTTTCTGCATTACTTCAACAGAGCCATATCCTCTGTTCAAGGTCAAAACCAAGAAACAGCCTTTCTGCATCAAGCAACACCATTTTTTAGTCTTTATTCTTCTATAAAGACTTACGAACTCGCTCTAAAGATGACAAGAAGTATAAAAAAAAAGTTCTGAACCAATTTTTTCTCCAGATGAAGTATGTAACAGCACAAAATCAGTATCTTAAATGCTATAGTTACCTTTTGGCAGGTTCATTTTGGCTTGAGACAGTAAGTTGCTCTGGATCCATAATTACCAAACGAGTTGGAAAATTGCACCCATCGCCCAAACTAAACCAGAAACAAAGATTCAAATCACTGTCTGCAACTGAATTAAACGAACTGAACAAGCACCCACATAAAAAGCAAATGCTACAGGCTCCAATCAATCACCGAGTGCAGCGCTGAACTCCAGACAGGCAGTTCTACCACTAAGCTGGATGATCAGTTAATGAAATCTTCAAGCCCAAATGATTCCCACCCTATCACTCAGTATGGATTGCTGAGCACAGCACTAGTTTATGCATTTCAGAAACATCACTGTGTTTCTGTAGACTATAGCACGAGTCTTCCCCCAAACCACTGTGCACAGGTAGACTATCTGGTATTTACAGCTCCAGAAGCTGTAGCATAATATTCTGGTGGCCATGCTTTCCCCTCCACCCATCGTTCTGAGGTTAGCTAAGCCTTCTTTTAAAGCAAGTTTAATCAGGATAAAATGTGGTGGCAAAACAGACTGATCCATCTACAATATAGCTTCTGTCTTTTTTTTTTTTATCATCACATGAAAACACGGTAGTTGAGCAAACAGCTGAGACAACTTAAGATCTTGTTATTATCTCTGCTGTTTGCTACCAGATCTCAGCTTCACGAATGGGTTCACCGACATTTTGAACTGATACACAACCCCCCACAGAAAGCAATGCTGAAACACAGCACCACTTTCTGGAGTGGTGGGAGCAGGCAGCAGGTCAGTCTTGCTTCATAAAGCTTCTCTGATGCTTATCTGCAACTCCCTAACACTGACTCAGATGAAGTTTTAAACCCAGTATTTTGCATTGTATCAGAATTTTTTTTTTTTTGCACTGCTGCTTATTTACATGCACTTTCTCAGGCAGCTTTCAATATGGAAACTGCTGCCTACAACAAAAGGAAAGCCGTAAGAGGGAGTGTTTTAAAACTGATGTTGCTTCAACACAGCTGAAGTTCAAGCATTTGGATCTCTGAGTTGCAGATTTCTTTGCTATAATCAGACACTAATGCTACTACCAAAAGGTGTACAATTTTTGAAATACGCTTCTCAAGCTTTCCAAACTTCTGTTTTCAGAAGGTCCTTGTCAATGAGGCCCTTGTCTTTGAATAAAAACACTGTGCAGAGTTTGCTCAGTTTTCTCCCGCGCGTTTTCCCTTCACCAATACTCATCGTGCAGGATTTACAAGTTGGCTTTTCAGTTGTGCTTTACTTTTTAGGAGAAAGGGAAGCAAGGTGGAAGTCATGGAATCAACTTGTTCCCCAGTTCATTCCCATTCAGACTGAATACCTGGTAAAGATAGGGAGCAGCCAATACTTCTTTTCATCTCCAAAAACTTCCCTCAGATTTTTGCTGCATCCAAGAGAAAAGCCATTTTTATCAGGGCCATTTCGAAATGTGGGTGCACGGAATGTTTCTGTAAAAGAAAAATATCCAATATCTCTAAAGCGTTAAGGAGTATGGGAAGATGAATAAACAGACTCAAACTTCTCTATTGGGAGAACAGTGTTGGGCAACCTGAGACAATCCTGATGTGTATTATGGAAAAAAAAAAAATTCGCCTCAAGTAATCAGAGAGCATTAAAAAATAAATTATCACAGGGTTAATGACAAAAATAGAAATGAAAGATAACAAACTTCATGTAAGCGTAACAGTCATCTTTCTCTCTTTACATTTAACATAAGGTCTGAGACAGAGCCAAGTACCATCATCATGTGAAAGATACACATCCCTTATTCATGGATGGCTAGCTTGCTCTTTGACCTGCGAAGCCACCTTTGAGCAGAAGACTTCCTCTTCCAGAAGCAATTTACCATAAACACTACTGGACCTAAACCCATACAGGATAGTTTTTTCCACTACTGCCAAGGTCCGAAGTTGAATTATGAGCATCCTGTGGTATCAGAGAAAGATGATCTCTATTAAATTAGAAACATGGATGCACCACGAACTACGGCAAACCACCACCATTTTTCTAGTCAGTTGGGTTACACCCTTGGCCAAGAACTGAGAGGATTCACTGCTCTCTCCATATCAACAGCTCTTCTTTTTACAATCATGATCCAGAAAGTACTGACTGTGTTGCCAGTTATGACCACTGACTTTTGGGCAAGGAACGTGCTAAAATTTTCTTCAAAGCTAAAAAAGAGTGTGAATATTCCTTAGCTGTAGATATGTCAAAAGAAAAAGGACTCAAACGACCCTCCTGTCAAGCAATCAAAATGCATTTTTCTCCATCAAAAAATTCTAGCAACCTGAACATGATTTCACTTTCAATCAACCTACTTATTTTTGAGGATGGAAATTGAACTTCCATTGAAAGGCAAAAGGTCTTGACTTACTTAGTTGTGGAAATACCCACCAGTTCCCGTCCTCCCCAACCCACAAAAAACACTTTCAAAAATGCTTTAGCAAGAACTTCGGATATTTTAACTAATGCACATAACTTGCTTATGCCGGTCAATGCTATTTAAAACATTTAGGCATAGAAATTACAGAAATCTCTTTTATTATTTAGGAAACTTGCATCAGTGTTTCCATTTTTACTGCATTGCTTTTACAAGCCACTTCCTAATAGCAAGATCCATTTTATTTCACAGGATTTAAAAATACTCTTTTGGATCTGGTTCCAAATGTAGTACGTTCACATACAGTAGAGCCTTCACCTTGGTTGGGGCCACCCAGATACTCAAAGTATTATACCAGTGGGGTAACTGGCAAGTAGCAATTGCGTTATATACTTAAAAATATATAAAAACACAACAAAAATGCTCAGCAGCTTAGGGATCTCAAAAACACAAACAAAAGAAATTAACATTCGTCATGAATCTACATGCTTAGCTCCACTGGAGGACCCTTACACATGCTTCATTTTCCCATAAGTTTCACTTTTAATTACTTTCACCAGATATGCTTCTTATTGCACAATATTTAAAAATTCTTTTTATATGTCATGGCATATCCTATAGGCCTCACATTCTCATCGACTTGTTGGTTTTCTGGACAAGGAACAGTTCCATATTCTAATTAACTGACCTATGGTTGATCTGTTTTTGCCAACTAGCCAGCAGTGGTAGCTGAAGAGTGACAGTATGCTGATGAAGAACATGGCTGCCACAAAGAAAAGGAATAGTACGTGGAATTTTGCATGGGTATCTGGCAATTCATTCTGGGGAGAAAGAGAGAAAGAGATTAATACATTAACACTTTTTAGCAACTACTGCAGTATTATTGCTAAACATTTTCTGCCACACCCATTCTGCTATAGGTCTTTCACCTCACTTTTCACAAAGGAAAAAAAGCGCAAGCCCGGCTTTCCTTCCATGTCATGCTAAACTGGCGTGTAACAGCATTTCGCGCTGATGGGTACCCCTCCACCTGAGCTTCATAGCACGAGTGCATAAGTTCATCTGTTTGATAGCACTGTGTATAATCGAGGCCTGGTTTTTAAATGCACAGTAGGAGGCAAGGAAAAAAAATTCCTGTACTCAAAAATGCTAACTGTGCAGCCACACCCAAGGAGACACAGGGAAAAATTGTCCAAAATGACTTTATTTGAAGGAAAGAAAATACAGCAAAAACTTCCAAACCCTTTCCTGGCTAGGTAATAATACTGAACCTACTCCTGAACCGGTGTAAGGAACATAAAAGGGAAACGGTTATATACTGTGCTTCTAAGACCAAACAACTCCTAGACAAGACCTAGGACAGATCTTCAATTTTTGATGATCTCTAAAGTTTAGGCAACAACCAGCATGCACCTAGCAAAAGACATTTGCCATGTCTGATCTGGCAGAAGTGATTCACCAGAAGATCTACATAAAGAACAACAATTTCAGTGCAACCACTATATAAAAAATAACCTCCCACCCATATTGGATAGTTGATTCCACCCCTAACCCCAACTATTTTTAGGACTGCACTTTCAAGAGGCCAATGGGATTTGTAACAATACTACTCCAGCTCTATATCCTCAAAAATCACAGTACTTTTAACAAGCAGACCTTTAACAGCACTACGAAAGCAAAGAGGCTATTTTTATTCACCTATTTGGTTAGCATTATTGCCATTACTTTTTCCATTAGCTCATTCAATACACCCACTTATCTAAGGCTGATTTTTTTTAAGTCTAAAACACATGTCAATTAAGATCGAGTGCATATAGGTATCTATATCCCTGCACACTGCCTGTATTCATAGGCAACAGATTACAAATCTCCTTTCCTTAATGGGGTAAATATCTAATATGAATAACCGGATTAGAAAAATTATACTAGGAACAGTATTTAAATAATTACAGCAATATTGGATTTTACCTTTGGACAATTCTCTGCAGCTTTCCTGCGGCAAAGCTTTGCGCAAACAAAGACAATTTATTAAACACTAGTATTATGTTAAGACGAATGTTTGAAAACAGCACAGGCTTTGTTAAGAAAGAAATGGCTGGTGTGCACACGTGCTCTCGGACGTGCCAAGTTCCAACGCCCATCAGCAGCCTTAGCCCCTGTTCTCCAAGCAAATGGAGGACAGAGCACAAAAGAGCACACTACTAACTTCTAAGGCATGGAGTTTTCTACTGAAGCATACAAGTATTGCTGCTAAGATTGTGGATGGATCACTTTCAAGCAATTCCTTAGCTTGAACAGCATGACTACACCACGTGCGTTCTTCGCTAGTCGTTTCCATCACAAGTAAGGTTTATGTGAATATTCTATATGAAGAAACCACTCATAAAGATCTGAAAAGCTCAGAATACTCCAGAGGTATAAAGCAATGGTTTATAAATTACAAAATCTTTCTGACTTCAGAACATATATATTACCATTAGATGTAGTTTCAGTAAAAAACATAACAAAAAAAAGCCATTCTTTGCACAATTTTCTTTGTTTAAAAAAACAACCCACAACACATCAGTACAGTTTTTCTACTTCCTAATATCCTTCAATATTGAGATTTGCTTGTGGGATGTATCTTTAGTGTAACATCTGAAATTGAACTGGTACTTCAGAAAATAAAGCAAGAAACAGGAAAGCTTAGTTTAAATCAGCTGCTGAATTCCAAACTTTATACCTACAGAGTGGTATTAGCCGTCTTAGCTAAGATGTTAGCACTTAATGACGTAAAGTTGTAGGCAAGATGCATGGCTTTTAAATTACGTTAATCTGTGCAGAAAGCCTAGGGAAGGTCCAAGCTTTTACCTTGGGGTCAGGCAGATACAGGCAGCATTTTCAAAAATGCTGGCTACCATCAGGTCCTGCTAAAGTAAATGATAGCAGAGTCCAGCTCTCTGAACTGCCGTGTAAGTTCAGTTTCCTTATTACTACCTTTTCTTTTTAATGCAGTTTTGCTTAGATAGTTTGTGCAACAGTCCCTCTCTCCCCTGCTGTAGGGATATGTTGTGTTTTGTGATCCCTTGAAATCAAGGCTAGCAAACTACATACTCAATTGCCGCTTATTTCTAAGCTTCATGTTAAAGCTATGACTTCTACCTCAGAGCACACTGCAGTGTTTCCTAGTTTCCTAATTATTTTTTGTAATTTCTATTTCTATGACTCTTTTGGAATTGCATATTTAAACAAAATAGTTCTCTATAAAGATTTCTCAGGCCAGTTGATTTTGAAGCTCTAAGAGCAGTATCAGCTTAGTTTTTGTGTTTTCTGTGAGCCAGAAAATATAAGTTTATTTCAGTTGCATTGTCTTAAGTAGCTCTATAACCCGGAGAAGGATTTTTTTGAATTATGCACAATTAATCTGCATGATCCTCAGGAAGCATTTACCGTGTCTGACTTCCCAGTTTCGGCCACTGGTTTTCAGTTCTTGAACGACAGTTGCAGAACTGAAGTGTCTTTCAAAAAAAGGCAAATTCCTTCCTGGAGAGAAGCATGCAGGCTATGAGTGCGTTTAACAGGCTTATTCACAGCTGTGTTCTAGCAGCAGTCCACATGCCACAGCATGTGAAAATAGAGTGAAACTTCAGACATTAGTTACTTAAAATCATTATGTGCAGTGGCAGCACAGAAGCAGAGACTTGCATTTAAGAGAGCTGCAGAGCTTACAAAGTGAAGCAGTTTGCACAATTAAATTTGGGCTACTTAGCACATTTAATAGCCCGAAGCCAGTCACTATTCTAAGGAGTTCCCTACAAACTCCTTCACAAGCACAGAGTCATTAGAGCATGTATCAGGTCACAAAAACCTGCAAACCCACAACAAAAAAGCGCTGTCAGAGCCTGACTCATTATTCATCTTTTAGTAACTAGGTCTAGCTTAAATCTAGAAAAAACTCAGGAGACCTGGTATATGTCCTTCTGTGTATATGGCAAGAGGACTGAGTTATAACTAAGGAGCTAGAATCACTCTCCTTTTTTCGTTGTTTTTTTTTGTTTGTTTGTTTTTTGTTAACACAACCAAAGTTTTGCAGAAGCGTGTGCCATCTATCCAGAACACCCATCACATCCTTCAATTAGCTATACTCAGGATTGCCAAAATAATTTGGAGGACAATGAAAGACACTGAGAACATCTGGAAAATATACAGGTTTCAAGGGCAAGGGAGTGCAGCAAGTATGTGAGTGGATACAAATACACTGGGAAGTACAGCCATGCACTATGTAAACAAGGCATCAAGGACTGGGCGTTCAGCCAGGGCTGGTGTTTGTCTCAAATACGTTTGGTTAAACTGAGGTTTTATTTGCTCATCTTTGACAACTTCCTAGGTAGAAATAAAAATTTCATGAGTATAGGAAAAGTAGTTATGAGCATTAAAAAAAAAAAGTCATTCAAATTCCCTTGATCTACAAAACAGACTTTAACATCCACATCACTATGTAAGCCTGCAGTAAACATGACAGCCAGTGTGGTTGTTCCACCACTGTACAAACAGTATCGAGACCTTTCTTCAGCACTTCTGCATAGAGCATGAAAGATGCTGTGCAGAAGTCTTGCATTTGCAAGTGGAAAGTACAAAGACTTTCTTCAACAGAAGAGGCAGGTAGGCGTGCACGTCTCACAATGTTTGCAAGTATCTGCATATGTGTGTCGTGGCTCTATGCAAGAATTATCAACAGTGCAAAACAATGGATTGCTAAAATTTATGTAGTTAGCACATACACCTTCACAACCTCATTACTACAAGTTCTGAAGTGACCAAGGCTACACTCCTCAAGAAGCAGTTCATCTTTGATCTCAACACTGGATATATACAGCAGTTTGTTGTACACTTTGTCTGAAAAACATTTATGAGAAAGCAAAAAAGAAACACTACCTTATTCAGATATACTGCAACATTACTGATAGCCAAGCATTAGAGGTATAAAAAAAAATAAAAAAAATCTAGAGAGCCTCAACAGAAAACGTCAAAACAGTAATCTGTCCAATGGTGCAGCAGACAAAGCTGAGCATTAGCAATATACTGAAGGAGTCTATAGACAGCACGTGTCAGCAGTACTCTGCTCTGACCTGGATACAGATGTAGAAAGATGCTTCCAAAACTCTATTCTGCAGTCAACAGCACTTGTGAAATTTAGTGTGTCTCTAGTATGTAAGCTTTCAGGCAAGCCGACAACATTATGGTGCTGCCACCTCTTTCTGGAAGTCGACTTTAATCAGGCTGTTGTAAGATCAGAGGAACATTAGCTTTGTGAAATGAGTGATTTAATATGAGTAAAGTGAGTCAGAGACCTACTCTAATGATAAGATCATGGCATCACCAGATTCTGTCTTGGAAGTAACCGGAAATGAAAGCAACAAGTGCAAGCACACAACTACATTGTCTATTGTCACATTTCAGAAGTAGCCCATTCTTGCAGGAAGCATTTTAAACAACTAAATCATATGTATATCAAATCCCTCTTCAGTTTACTTCCTCTGCTCAAGGGTCCACTTTCATATTGTGTCAGATGGGCTTTGGAAGAGGCTTGCTCCAGATGTTCATATTAATGTTCATTGTGGTCAGATGTCCTGCGGACTTTTGTTGCGCTAACACTTATGAAGTGAGGTGACAAAGCAAATTCATTTTCTTTGCTCAAGCACTTACTGGTAAATATGTAAGAGCACATCTACAGTTTCATTAGAAATGGCATACAAAGCACTGGAAAGGAGCCAGGCAGATGTTTGGGAGTGGCACATTCACAAATTAAAAATTTAACTATTTACAGTCACGCAAGACTGAACAGCAGAATCAGACCATTTAATTTGAAATTATTTGTCAAGACACAGATATGACTGGTAAATACATTTATGGCTTTCATCTCACACAATAATGACAGCTCAATTCCCACATAGTTCCCTGCTCTCCAGTGACAGGCTGCCATACAGAACTGTCAGACTAAGAGAAACACAGTACTTTGGCAGATCAGACCCATAGGCTTAGACGAATACAAACACACTTTTTGCACCATTCATCTTACCTGTCTAATGCCAACTGTCTCAAAGCACAGCTATTCTAAACACATGATCAAGCTCCTCTTACCCTGACGTGGCAACATCTTTTTGCTCCAATAAAGCTTATTTCTCCAGCTATAAATAATGACTGCTTTTCCCAGCTACTCTGATAGCAACTAGCATCTAAGAAATATGTGCTGTTATTTACTTATGTGATGGAGAGCGTTCCACTCACACTGATTTTCCCCATGCTAGTTAATGGAAACTGATTAAGAGAATTCTGATGCTAGCTCTTCTGTCTGGAGACAGGATGGCACAGTACAAGGTTTTGGAGATGAAAGGGAACAACACCAGAAGACACTGTTCAGCCTGGAATGTGACTGGGACAAAACTGATAGGAGGAATATAACACTGACATACAAGGACACTTGTCCTTCACATAAATTTTATTAAATCTGGTAAGAGGCATGTATGTGCATTCATCATTTGGCAACTGGTAACAGTTGCAAGGAAGATGTGTATCGTTAACACTGTATGTTATTATCTCTGCATTCTACCCATATCAGATTGATAAAAGCCACTACTATGAAGTTCAGACACGCCTACATAGGGACTCCAAAGCAGCTTGGTCGGTTCCCAAGAAATTAATCTGCCTTATCTGGTAGTAGATTATCTATAAACAAGTCTAGAAAGATATTAAATTGTTATTTATCTTTCATGTTTGTGTTTTTTATATATACGTGTGCATATATACACAAATATATGTAATTGATATAGCCAGTTCTTTCTGTATCTATGTATCTATATGCAATAGTCTCAAAAAAACCTGAGCTGTGCCACTCGATTTTGATGGAGCACAGAAATTGCACAGTGTGCTCATTGGAACTTCTTCCCCCAATTACTCATCCTGGCCAGTGTAACACATTTAATTCATTAATATTTAGAAGGTTCTCCTGCTTCAGTCACTTTGATTGATGCTGTAATGAACTATGGAACAGAGTAAATGGTGAGTGACAACATGCTGATGCAGCCTCTAATAAAACATGCGAGATTAAACAAATGAATAACAACTTAAAAAAAAAAGCCTTAGAACTTACTGTCCAAAACTTTATGAAGTACTGCAAGACTGTAGCGGCAACAAACAGACAGTACAGTAAGGAATACATTAAAAACAGGAGGAAGAATTTGTAGTTAGAAAATCCCACACAATTATTCACCCTAGAAGGAGGGGAAAGAGAAAAGAGGTTACTGTGATATACACAAAATAAATGAAATAAAACACAATACATTCAGCTTTTGCAGAGCATAACGGGTATGATGTCAGTGGTGTGTCCAAAACAGCCTGTCACTAGTGTTTCAGAAGCATTTTAAGCCACCATTTTGAATGAAGTCTCTTTTCCCAGGCCAAATGATCTGGGCCCCTCACATCAATTTGCCCCCCATGAAGTTCTACAGGACAGGACATGAGCTGGCAAAGCGTATGGTACAGACAGTCTGTACAGAAAGCGTCTCACACACTCTGAACTAACTGCAGTCATCGTGGAAGATAATACGAGCCTCTCCATCACCTCCAGTGGATGTTGCTTGGGTTACAAAACCACCTTCAAGTCAACAACTGAGAGCAGTACATGTACGGTGATAGCAGATAGTGTTTTACTGGCTACCGGTGAACACAAACTGCAGAAGAGTAACTGTCCGAGTGGGTCTTATCTAGAATCGAGACCTGATTTTCACAGCGTAGTGGATATCTCCTCTGCTGGTAACAACACCAAACTAAGCAAAAGAAAGAAATGCCATTTCTCGTAGGCCTTGTTAACACCAGGGTTTCTCTGTACAAGGAGAAACTGCATGATTTGGGTCACTGGGTCTACAACTCTATGTTGCAGAACATAAGGAACAAGATTTATTTTTAAATATCAAAGCCTAAAGAAGTTCTGTGAAAATCCAATTTTACCTCAAAGTTGCATTTTTGAAGCAGCATCATGTAGGATCTCATTCATCATTGTTATACTAATCTTTTTTTTTTGTTTTTATAAACTTACCACGGACAGTGGTGGTCCATTTTTAGTACACATCTGAAAGAGATAATTTCCAGTAAGTTAAAGCAAAAATTACATTTTCTTTCTAAGACTTTTAGCTTCTACAGATTCAGGGATTGTTTTATTTGTTTTTTTTTTTTTTTGGTGGTGGTGATTTTTTTTTGGTTGGGTTTTTTTGGTTGTTGGGGTTGGTTTTGTTTGTTTGTTTGTTTGTTTGTTTTTAAGTATTTTGCCCCACTGTATCTTTTTGAAATCCTTTTCAATCATGCCAATTCTCTGCATTACAGCAGCCATCCTTTCACTCAAAAGGACCAAATAAGATTCAGAAGAGTTATGAAGAGAGTCTCTTAAATTAACATGGGGAGCATTACTGAGCAACACTATGTAATAGTTCATTAAGCCACACTAGTTTTATGTGCACACTGAGAGAAAACAAATCCAAAAGGACCCTTCAGAGTTGTGTGGATAAGGTATATTATTTGCCTGGCATTCACTTCAACTAAGTTTACCTTAGAGCTACTTTTGCTACCTTTTTTTGTTTCCTGCTTGCTTGTTTGTTTTTTCAAGCTAATTGAGGAACAGAGCAGCGCAGTGGGTAATTTAAATAGTCCACATGGTATTTTCATCCAGATTTAGTATAAGGACAGATACTAGACATTCAGACACACAGACATTCACTGCATTCTCTAAGAAATTTTACTTTAGCCAAAAGATGTGTATTAGCTTCTTCAGTCTCACTAGATCTCCTCAAGCTCAGCCTACTGAAGTCTCACTCATAGCCTCAGTTGTCAGTGCCCTTATAGACTCCTCTGATGACTCAGAATGAGGTTAGGAAATAGCAGTGATGTCTTTGAAATGGTTAAGGCATGTAATTCCACTGTCAATCTTTGAGATAAAGATTTTTAGCATTATTAGCACACATCTATTTCAAGGCTGCAGAAGCAAGATACAATAAAAGAGTTCTATAATAAGCATTTGCTGATGCTTGTATCTTAGACCTGCCTTTCCTTGCTTTCAATAGCTGATTTTTTAATTTTTGATTTTTTTAAATATAAGCACTGTTTTACAAAGCTACAAGCAGGTTTCCTAAAAAGTTCTGCCACTTTGGATAATGGGGCTGCAATAATAATATTGCACCAACAGGAGGAACTTCACTTTCACAAAATGCAAGTACTGAGGGTCTGAGCAAGGGCTGATAAACTGAAGACATGAACACACTGAAGTCATGATCACAGGAGAGAGAAAATCCATCATTTCAGATTCGGTAACTTACATGTCACATGCAGAACAGTGGTGGCAGCGGTCAGGTTTGATTAGCTGGCATCGATCACAGTATCTGATTGCTGCATTCAAGTGGCAAGGGTCAAGTCATTAGAACTCATTCAATTTTACAAAGGTTTTCCCCCTTAACATGAACTGAATCTATTGCCTCCCCCTGCCACACCTATTCTCACAGACTTTGATACACCCACTCTCATATGATATGTACTTTTGATTTTTTTCAGAAATGTAACATATGAAACATTTTCATCTATTACTACTGTACTGAGTCCATTTCCATTTACTCTTTGGCTCCCCAGTCTTCCCATCCTTCATCCTCTGGCACTGATCCCCTATCGCTTGCTTTCTTTCACCTCTGGATAGGGTACTCAGGCATCCCAATGTAAAAC